AAAGAGCCCATAAATGCCATATTTAAACCAATATTTCTTAAATAATTTTCCTAACACAAGAGCAAAGTTAAAAGCATTCCAAAATCTAGATGTGTACCAGTTTTTTCATACAGTAGTCTACATGATGACATTTTCTTCATGGTTAATGATTAGAAACATATTTTATTGCGTCTTACAAAGCTCAATAAGATTAGTATATAAATTCACCTTGGAAAACACGTCTGCTGGAAATCCGTGTAGACACTGAGGCTGCCAGGCTGTCTGTCTCTCAACTGCTGTCTGTCCCTGTCTTCTTTCCTCATCAAAAGGTAAATGATAAAATATCAGGCTTGCTTTGCAGAAAGACTCCAGACAGGGATTCAAACGCTGGACCATTTTGCTGCCAGGCAGCAGTTCTCCCCACTGTTCCATCAGGCAGTGATGAGGTTAATTTTACCATCACCATGGATTATACACATATAATAGTGAACTACCAAGACTCACTGCTTAATTATTGTCTATATTATGATTTAATGAAGAATCCTGTGTCCATTATTTGACTACTTAATTAATAAAAATACAACAAAATGTCAAATTTTTAAACCCGTGTAGGAAGAGTTGTTGACTTAAAAAAAATGGATAAAAGTGTCTAGTTGCTATATTGGTACATAAGTGATGCCTCCTTGTGACATGTTTTTCTTTCTTTTGTTTTTTTTTTAATTAATTGTAGGATATCTTGTTTGTTTGCAAGTCAGAATAGTCCTGGTTTTATATAAATAAGAGATATTTCTACTGCAGACTGCTCTAGAAGACATCCGCTATGACTCAACCCATTAATCCAGCAGGGTTTAAAAAGGTTTTCATCAGCAGAGACACTGCAGATATTGTGACATATGACACAGTACATTATTCTAGAAAGCTCAGTGTTTGAGCTGTTTTTAATGGAATGGAGAACACAGAGAGTCTGCTTGCTTGGAGGTAAAGTGTACCTTCAAGCAACTGTAAAGGCTTCCTGTTTTCACAGGGGCCCTAATGGACGGCTCTGTCATCTCTTTAGATTGGTAAGTAAAGCTGAAACTGGATATGGACATGTAGGAAATGTAACATTATTTATTACAATTTCATCAGACTGTTGTTGCTGCCAGAATAATGAGAGAAAAGAGCGAGTTCAAGATTACTATATTTCTAAGTCATTTGGGAATACAGACATGTTTTCTCTGCTGTCTTTTCTTGTGTCATAAAAAAAATCCAAAGAAATCAGTCAATACTTTGGGAGGACAATGTGTCCTCTCAAAGTCCTCACAAGCCTGGTTTATTCTCAGGTCCAAATTTTAGATATCTGAAAGTTCCAGTTTCATTTGTTCAAGTAACTACTTCATATAACAATATGAAAGTGAAAAACATCTATGAATGTCCAGTCATCATAATGCTCACAAAGAGGTTTCAGAAATGTGTAAGTCAACCAAAAAACAAGTCAAGTAAATGACAAATAATCATAGTACAAACAGATTCTGTGAAGATTTGGTTTTAGTGGTAAAACAAATGCCGCATCAACATGGGCTGAAAAGCCATGCAGACAGGAAGAAGATATTTCACCAATAGCAACATAAAAATCAGATCACGGTTTGAAAATAAAATATGTTAATTTTCGTAGACGTGAAGTGTTTGGCCATGATGACCATTATTACAAGTGGAGGTTAAAGGAAGAATCTAGTTATCCTGAGAACGCCAACTGTAAAGCCAGGAAGTGGCAGCATTGTGCTGTGGGGCTGTTTTGCTGCAGGAAAGGATTCTTCACTAAATAATGACATCATGATGAAAGAAACAAACATTATGTTTGTCACACAGAGTTAATTAAAACTTTAATCTGAAGTATTACCAGAGAATGAGAAAGAAAATATTTCTTGTCTGTAACACATTGTATGTAAATATCTGGTTCTAACTCTAACTGACCACCACTTTATATTATAGTCCATCTTTCAGTCTTCATCTCTGAAGACAGCAATATGAAAGAGTACTAATAATGTTCAGTGTCAGCTCAGTAGGGAGCGACATGTCTGGTCTGTTTAGAGCTCTTCTCACTGCCCATCAACTTAATACCTCCTGAGTTGGCCTTTTCAGAAATCCAGTGTAATGTCAAAATATCCATCCGGCTGAGGATCAGGGAGAGGTTTCCTGTTTTCCCACACCTGTGTTGCTGACGGATTAAGTGATGCCTACTTTTGTCATCTGGTTTGAACTTCAAGAGAGAATCCTCCATGCTCTGTACTGAGCATGCTCTGTTGTCATATTTTAGGTTCCTTGCCGTGATGTCCATGTTTTCTGCTGATTAACTAGTTGAGTGCTTACAAGTTGTGGAGATAAAATATGAAAGAAATGCTATTATGGAGAGTTTGTGAGAACTTGTGGCGTTAATGCAGTAATGTTGTTAAACCAGCAGCAGGGTGAATTAATCAGGTTCAAAATGTTTTTTTTCTTCAAGACAGACAATATCAAAGCTGTCTAACCACCACTTTTAAAATTAAAGACATACCTCACATTGTTTCCATTTTACTCCTCAGTGCTCTGCTGTTCAAATAAAGATTACAGTCCTGTTTATTTGCATCTTTAATGGTGAAGCTCCATGCTTTTGGCACTGAGACAATAAGCAGAGGAGATCCAAGTGGAAGTCCATTCTTGGCAGCCAGCAAGTTTAGGATGAGGCCTGTTAAATTCTAGTTTGTTGGGAAAATGAAAACAGAACAGAAAAACTCCATAGTAAAACCAGAACTCCTGATCAGCATCTATGTTTAGTGTATGTTATTGATATTTTATTTTATAGATTGATACAATGTGGTACAGTGACAAATAGAAAAGAGGAATATAACAAATGGAATTTTGCAATTACAGTGTTTCCATTAAAAAGAAACAATTAAAATCACACATGAAAGTTTATTCACACAATAAGTCATTCAAAAACCTGCCATGCCATCTTCCTCCTGCCACTTCCTGTTGTCTTTGCCATCTTTTCCACCAGCAGTAATATTATGTTGCTGATCAAATTACTTGTGTGATGCGAAAAAAAATGTTTCCGTTGCAGTTTTGCAAACAAAAACCCACCTCATCTTAGTGCAAAAACTTTTTTTTTATTGAAAAATTAGAGTTGTTTCAAAGTTGCTGTGTTTCCATGAAGAACATTTATTTTTGGAATTCAATTATAGTCAAGAGAAACACAGCTATTGTTCAGAAAGTCAGAAAGTATTTTTTTTTCCCTCCCTCTTCACTTTTTCACACTAACATAAATATTCTCAGTAGACACTGTGCTCACAGTAATGCTCTCCGTTGCATTGACCTGTCACATGAAACTACTTTGATCCTAATGTGACTAACTTAAAACAAAGCGGTGTCGTAACACTCTTTGGAGGAGTTGTGATTGACAGGACTTTGTCTTTTGGGACACCATGGCATGACACCATGATCTACTTCAGTGTTGTCTGTTGTAATGAAGAATCATCAATTGAAATCTTATTTTCATTCCAGAAGAATGTAAATTAGTGTTTACTTAGCTTGATGAATATTATGATGTACAAACTAACATCATGATTCTACACTCAGAAAAATTTGACCAATGGTTACTCAAAAAAATTGAGGCAACAAAGTGACACGTAATATAATTGAGTAGATTTTATGTTCTACAATAATGAGTAAAAAGTATTGAATATTTTAACTTAACTTAACTTAAAAAAATCAAGTACATCTTAATAAAATCAACAGCTGAAATGTCTTGGATTTAGTAATATCAAGCCAAATGATAAGTTATATTGACAAAAAATATTTAGTAAATCCAACTCAATTTTACAAGGAAAAATTATTTCTATTTACTAAGTTTCTGAGAAAAGATTATTTGGATTTACGAAATATCTGTGGGAAATTGATTCATATTTACTGTTAATCTAGGTGAAATTAATTTTATATTTATTAATTAAATGGCTGAAATTGATTTGGATTTACTAAAGATCAGCATAAAAATTTATTTGGATTAAGTAAATAATATAAATGATATCAACTCATATTTTAGCACATTATTGATTGATTCAACACATTAACACTGTTGTTCTTAGTCATTTGTAGCTAAAATAATTGATAAATTCTAAGTTATTATTTGTGTCATAGGACTTTAAATCTATTCAATAATATTGAGTGTCACTTTGTTGCCATAATTTTTTTAAGTCTAATTTACACAATATACTGACCAAACTTGAGTGGCATCAAAAAACAACAAATTAAACAGCAGCAGCATTTCTTTGTGAAACTTTATAAAACGTGATTATCCAGCACCCAACAAGTGCAAAATTCCAAAATACAACAATAAAACAGAGAAGGGGCAATATACAATATATCAGTATCAAGTCAAAACATAGTGCCACTCTGCTCAAAGTATAGTTAACATGATTTTTTAGAGCCATCACATCAACAAAAATCAACTTGGACTCAGTTAAGCTTGCTTCAACAATTTATCAATCACATAAACATAGTTAACTTTATGTTTAAGAGGCATGCAGAGCACAACACAAGTATAAATCTTACCTGGGGAAAACACATGACAATATGTGAAAGATGGGCGAGACCTTTGAGGCATAAAAACTTCCATTTTCTTGTTTTGCATGTTCATGCTACATCTTGTCACTGTGTTGGGGCTGTTGGCTCCGTGACACTTACTTTCCTTTTCGAAAAATAAGTTGAAAGACAGAACTGAACAAAAACATATTATATAAAGTGCAAATGAAACACAACAGCATTTTGCAGCCTGCAGATCATCACCCTTCAGTGGTGAAGCCTGCATGGACTCTCCAAAAAGGCAATAGTGGATTCTCTATGCTGTATAAAAGGGACAAGGATTCATGTGACAGACCTGAACAGATCCAAAGCCATATAACAGGCCGCACTACCACATATGAGAACAAGGGGTCAGTCCTTAGAAAGGCTAGTTAACTGTAATGTACTGCAAGAAAAAATACATGCAGAAATCCACTGAACTGAAAATTACCCAAATTTTAACTAACTTCACAGAGCATGTCACAAAGTTTTGCGTGTTGATTTTGACAGTGGCTTGTCTATTCCCTTTTGTTTAGTAAGGGTCCGTTTTCTTAAGCCATTAGTTTATTCCTGAGGCTGTTCACTTTTGTGGAGAGCTTTGAACTATCCAGTCCGAGGAGAAGTTTCTGAAACACTTCAAACGTGTATCTGAGCTTCTTTGGATAGGCAAGACTCATAGCATACACCAATCCAACAAGCAGGGAGCAAGCCCTTGGAAAGTTACCCAGAGCAGTTAGAATTTTCACGCTGTCCACCACGATACCGATGTCTGGATCCTCTGACGTGTTAGCTTTGATGTTGTAGATCTTCAGGCTTTGAACAGCAAGGTCCTGTGACACACTGTCTTCATCAGCATCCTGTAATAGCAAGAACATTGTGCATATTAGACAGTACAGCTAAAGGAGAAGGTTATATTTCCCAAATTGCTTACAACTGTTTGGACAAGAAAATCTGGAGTTTGTCAGCCGTTGCTTGTAATGCACTCTATTTGTCAGTGTTTTAGACAAATATGAGATAACACTAAAAAATTTCCAACGAATACCAATTAGAAGAGATGAGATAAATCACCTACTTTATATTTTAATATCTACTTAAACTTACATCATACTTTTGTAAGAGTTGATCTGTAGGTTCCCCAAGGTACATCATCAAACATCGAATGGTAACATCTCTGGTCATGTTGATGTCAGGATTGCTTGGAGTCTGAAACGAAAAAAATAAACACCTGGTGATTTATATTACTGTTAATAAGCTCAAGGATCCTTCCTGTGCCATCTTGAGGACCAGTGTAATAAAACACTACTGAAACAAATTTTCATGCGATTATTTCATATTCCATTGATAAAGAGAATCACAGACTAACCTCCAGTAAATTTAAGTAATGATATTCCAGAAGTTTAAACACAAAATTTTGAGAATGAAATATTAGCAACCATAATGCTCAATGAAGGATACCTCGAGTAGGATAGCCTGCAACCTCAACTCCATGGTTCCGCCCTTGGAGTGGAAGAGGTTCAGAAGTCGAGGAGTATATTCATCCAGTTTGGACATGATCTTTGATTCAAGATGCACCATTGTGATTCTGTGAAACTCATCCTGGATCTGAAAGATAAATCATGAAACCAGTTTTAAAGCCTCAAATATTACAAACATACATAATGTTCTTACGACATTTTTCAAAAGCAAGAAGATGGATCAAATTTGATCTATAAAATAGATGACAGTAACGCAACACATTTTGTATCAAATAGCTAAATGCAGAATCACAAATGCAATCCTTCACATTGACTAGGAATATTTCTGATTAGCATGCACTTATAACTCACGTGAGACGGCTCAAATAGAGCGGGCCATCTGGCTTTAATTTTCTCTATACTGGGTGATTGGTTAATGATTTCGTTTCTTCTGTGTGCAAATGTTTTGGCCATTTTTTCTTTTATCAATGCGTTGTTGTCCTCTTTCTTTACTTCAGTAAACAACTGAATCCTCTCTTGTTCTTGACTTTCTTCATCCTCTCCCTTTATGGTGCCTTTGTGTTTGATAAGATCACTGTTGTGAAGAGTAAAATAATCTTCAAATTTCACATCAAAATACTGAAGACTGAACTCAGTAGAAATCCCAAAGGTCTCCTTCACAATATTATGCAGCTCCTCCCACAGTGGGCGGGATGCCTGATGGGAGGACCAACTTCTCAATTCGGTCGTCAATTATTACTCTGAGTTTTGCCTCCATCTCTGCCATCCAGACAAGAATAGACAAAAGTTAAATATATTGTTACAGTACATAAAAAACCTGTATAAAAAAAACCATTTATAAATAAAATCTGTACTTATTTAAGTGGACTTATAATCGTAACATTAAATGCGTGTGCCATAATTATGATTATTAAATTGCTAAAATGTCAACAAAAAAGGATCCTGTTGTTATATTTCCAGAACAATGGTTTTAAAAACAGATGTTATGAGATGTAAAGGTTAACATAATTTATCAAAATTACCTAAAACAAACAACAGATGTGACGTTTTAGTGTGACCAAGCGTTTTCCTCCCACACTGTATGCAGCATGTACACTGTACATCACCAAGTTTCTGCTGCTCAACAAGAGCCATTTTGCCAGTGTTCTCTAGTTGAAAAGATCTAAGATGCTCTTCATGCCATGCTTGTAGTGACTTTACAATAAAATGTTCACGGCTGTTTAAAATGGCTATCTGAATAATCTCAGCAAAGTCAGGAAGTCCCCCTGTAGAGCCATGAGGCAAGCTCATCCTAACAGTGTACTTAGCTCCATAGCAAGTGACAGTGTTAGCAAACTGCACGGAAGACAGAAGCGGTAATGTTTCTCTTAAAGCTTCCTGTCTGTCTAAATGCAGCACATCTAAAGGCACCACAGATATATGCACATCAACAAATGCCAAACAATAAATATTAAAGTCAAAGATGCCCAAAACGGACTAACGAAGCATTTCTCTCAGTCTCTCTGTGGCAGCAGTCAGTACGAAGCTCTACGTACTGATTTCAACCCAACATTCACAGACGCATCTCACTGTTTATCTGTCAGTGTGAGCTGCAACCACAGTTTGAAAGCAAAACGTTTTTCCGAGAAAACAGGAAAAAACGAGAAAGCCGTTTGTGCCATCTGAATGTAACTAACGTAACGTTAATGGAGAACCTCAGTGAGAGCCGGTGAACTTGGGTTCAGCAAAACACCAGCCACTGTGCTCAAAACACAATAACAGACGTTCCATGAGAAAGAAGAAACAGCGCACTTTGTCTCAAAATGTAAAACGGCTGATTTTTCTTCCGAAATGTGTAACGTTATAAAAACTGATTAGAAATCAGCTTTTAACATGCTATTTGAGTAAAAATGCTACTTGAGTACATTTTAATAGTAAAACTAAATGCAGTAACTTTAAACGAAACTCCTAAGTTGATTAGCCTCTCACCGTTGAAAACAACGTCTGTTCCTCCATTATGGAGCCCAAACATGCTAGCTAGCTTGTTAAGGTGGGGGAGGGGGAGCTTGAGCTGAGGCCAAAAAACTACATTAAATAAAAGAGTAGCTTGTATTCTACGGCCACTATATATCGTATTACGTTAGTCACATTAAATTGTGACATTGAGACTACTTTTTCAATCATTGCGATGTATTTAGTCAAATCAAAGATGACTGACTTCAAATCCTTCACACTATAACTTTAAAGTTGCCATGTTTGGTCATTTGCAGTAACTTAAGACAACGTTTAACTGCTACAGACACTTGAATTATTTTAACTAAGAACAATTAAAACATGTCTTACCTTTAAGCAAACGGTAGTCCATGAAATGCCAAGCAGACTGGATGTTCAAATGCTTTGGGGCGGGAAAAATAAAGGCCTCCCAATGAGTAAAATTTATCAATTTTCTGCACTTTTGACTTTACCTATGAAAATAAATAAATTCTACTTATTGTTTTTCTGCTGATTTTATTGAAATAAAAACCGAGTAGAATGCAATTAAAATATATTCAAAATTTTGTTAATTCAACTCAGTGAGATTCAAAACTGCACAGTCTTTTTTATTATGTATAGTTTGCTCTTATTTATTTAGTAAATATTACTTAACCCTGATCACACTTTTTTCAGTGTATTCTCATTTTACTTAACATTTTCACTGTTATAAAACAGATTGAATTAAGAAGATAAAAGGATTAATTTAATCATTCTGTTGATCCAGTAAATTCCACATTTCTTTCTGACACAAGCAATCAAGCATTTCTTTATTACTCCTGAGAGAACTGGTGGACTTGGTCAGTTTCAGGGCTTTTCAGGCTCTCCTAATCTGATTTGACCTGAAAACACCTTAATGTTTTCAGGTGTTTCAGTCCTTATTGGTAAGGACTGATGCTTATGAATAAGCATCAGTCCTTATTGGTAAGTTTGAGGTTGATTCACAACCGGTAAAAGTCGTTCACCTCCGGGACACAGAATGCATCAGAACTAGTTATGCTATCATGATTCTCTGAATAGATGAAAATGGAACACTCGGGTAATTGTCTTTTTTAGAGTATGGGTATACTTTGGTTTCATTTACATCTTTGATGTATTGGACCAAAATATATTGATACATATACCAACAAATCTAGTTTTTATGTATATTCTCATAATAAGTCATCAACATTTTAAACAGTAAAATTGGCAGGTTGTCTTACTTACAATCTTCATTATGTATTTTTTCTAAACTAAACTCCATTCACATAACTTTAAAATCACATAAGTTCAGTACAGCACAGTACATATTTTATCCAATTGTTGCTTTCACACAATAACCAGCAGCAATAATCTACTGTTCATCCATCAGTCTACTGTACACGTTATAGAAAGAGGTTAGTGGAAATTTGCTCTGCATCAATGAGTTTTTTCTTTTCTTCTGCAGCTGCTAAAGCATTGCAGCTTTTCAGTGCAGATCTCAGAGTGCCTCAGTGATCCTCCAGCTTGATAAGAATAAACAGACTCGGCAGTTGTTCTGATAATGTCCGTGGTGTTCAAAATACATTTACACAAATGGACAATCTCTTCTTAACGGAGGTGTGTAGCAGATGTCCTTCCATTCAGAGCCACATCAGCCATAAAAGATTTAAAGAGTCCCTGAAATGCTCCCCTTCTGCAACTTCTGAGCTCTATGAATATGAAAGGAACAAGCTGGGCCGCGGAGATCAATGCAACGGAGCTAAAATGGTGCGAGCTTTACTTCCTAGCATGAATATGCAATACAATAAAAAATAAAATTATATATATATACATATATATAATTTTCCAAGTTGCTCAAATCCCAATGCACAGACAAATACAATACTACTTCCACTGCCAGATTATTTCACTTATCATAATAATCTTTTTCCATATTATAAGTGCAATAATCTGCCAGTGGAACTAATACTTTTTCATCATTAAGAAATTTACTAAAAACAAGCTCCTATACCTTGACGGAAAGCTACTTATAAATTGTTTTGTTTTATTTTAAGTATACTTACGTATTTGAGCAAGAAATTAAACCATAAATAACCAATAAATCAAACCATAAATAACCAATAAATTAAACCATAAATAACCAAGAAATTAAACCATAAATAACCAATAAATTAAACCATAAATAACCAATAAATTAAACCATAAATAACCAATAAATTAAACCATAAATAATTATGGTATATTATAAACCATAAATTAAACCATAAATAATTATGGTATATTATAAACCATAAATTAAACCATAAATTATGGTTTAAGCTTTGTAAAATTTTGTGCTTTTGCAGTGTTGATGGGAATTTTTAATTTAACAGATTACAGACATGGCCAATTTACATGGGATTAAAAGACAAATTCTGCAATTTTTAAAAATGGCACGTTTTGAACTAGGGCTGAACTTAAAATGTCACACATAAAAAAGCTTTTGCAAAATACTCAAACCTTGCAGAGGGTGAAACAGCAGCAGGTTATTGCAGGTAGTTCCTTTCACACATGGGAGCCTGTTAGGAAAAGTTTCTGTTTTACAGTAAGGTACCATAGTTGAAAAAAAAAAAAAAACTAATTTTTCTTAGCAAGATCAGATCATTTCAGTGTGCTGGGTGACATGTCATAGCTAATGGATGAATGTAGCATTCATCTGGAACAATTATCCTGATCACTACATTACCAAAATAATTTATTGTAATTAATGTATTTATTTTTACTTTTGATGCAACTATTTTAAATGTTTCTGAAGAGCCCTGTGGCTCAAAATAGCTACATAAGATTTCTGTAATTACTTTTGTTAATGCATCAAAGTTTTTATTTTGTGTATTTTTACAGGCAGAGTAACCACTTGTTTCAGTAAACCATGTCCAGCTCCTTGTAGTGAATTTCTAAGTAAAACATTACTCAGACCTGCAGCAGGTCTGAGTATTTAATGTGATCCATTAAGACAGAACATTGTTATGGTTGTTTTTAGAGTTGCATTATCCGGGGCAGAAACACAACAACAGAAGACATTTCAATATATTCAGGACAGAAACATGAAGTTTTAAGGCTGACCATGAAATTTGCCTTGAGTTCTTTTTTTTTTTTTTAACTTAATACAGAATAAAATTCTGTGTTCTTTTTTCCACTTAGCTTAATGGCAAAGGCTCCAATTTCCTCAAGCAGCTCTTTGAACTTCTGCCCACTGGAATTGTTGGAAGTACCAGAACTGTGATCTTGCAGTCCTCCTGTCATCATTTTACGGATCTGTGACGCTCAGAGAGCCTCTGAAAAGCAGTTTTGTGACAGAGAGTCTTATTCAGGGAGAAGCAGGAGGAAATGATTTCAGGCTGGGGTCAAAGTGAGGCAGAGAAACAGCAAAGTGGAATGTTGCCGTCTCTCACTCGGTCTTTCACAGGGACGCGAAGGGGAAAAAAAGAACATTTGAAGTGTGTGATCTGGGGACGTGGAGCACTTTGATGCAATCATTCTGGTTTCAACTTAGTCCTGGAAGAACACAAAGAGTCCGGGGAAACAGGAGAGCAGCTCAGGAAGGTTCTGGATGCTGTTGGTCAAACTTTTCTTTGTCCAATGATGAAATTTAGAAGTCATCTTTTATTCACTCTGATTAGATATGTTAGATAA